ATATATATATATATATACACACACATATATATATATACACATATACACATATATGTACAATATTTAACAATATTTAAACTGCAAATAAACAAAGTTTTATGGAAAATTTCAAACAAAAAGTAGTTATTTTTTTAGGTGACTTATTGAATGTAAGTAAATGAGTGTCATTGTTCATGTGACTCTTTGTACAGACGGTCAGATTTTCTTGCTTTGATTGAAGATGTTGTTTGATCTTAAATCATGATCTTCAGGTTTTGCACTTTTAGAGTCTAACTTGTCATTAAAGTCAAATGTTATTTAGAAAATTTGAGGACTATGAAATTATACATTTTTATAGCATAATATGAAATTCTCTTAAAAATAGCAATTGCACATTTTCAGTTTTGTAGTGCTTAGTTGACTCCAAATGACCTGGCCGATATATCGGCAAGTGACTAGTTAGAATATCTAGTTGAATATGTATACTGTCACAATGAGGTTGTGTCGGATTAATGAATTTGTAAGATTTGAATATAAAGTGAAAGCAAAGATGCAAAACAAAGATTTTTAATGCTGGGCCAATCGGGCATCATGCTGTCAATGTGTTGTTTTCTGGACTACTCAAAGGGCAGAACCAGGACAAAGAGATCAAAATCCCAGGCCAGCACTGCTATTTATTTCCGTCCTGTCGTTCAGTAATGTGTGTGAGTTATGTCACTTTCTCAAACAAATATGTGTTGCTGAACGACGGCAGATCGATGCGGGTAATCTCTTAAAGATTAAAAGGGCATTAATGCTGGCAACAATAACATAAACGTGTGCACCCAGTTCGCATTGATCTGGAACCCGATCCGGACTTGTTCCAGTAAAGCTGACGCTGGAAGAACGTTCCCAGCAAGCCGACTGACTCCGTGCTAAAAAGACTCCTGGCGGGCTATTCTGAGCCGTGCTTGTTTAAAAGGATCATTAAAGCTGATCAAGCCGCCTGGATGAGACGCGAAATCAACGCATAACCAAGTGTAGATGTTTTCCAGAGGATGTTTAAAAGGATGCGCCCGGTGACCTTCACACAAAGACCGGGGTGATGCGACGCGCCTCACGGCTCCAGAGAGGACGGCGTCAGATAATTATAATGGCATTGCGGTGCTTTGAGGGACCTTTTAGTGATGAGATTCTCTTCTCAACCCAATAAGTGTGTAACACGGGCCAAGAGAGTGAAATAATCCCGGCAGAAATATGATTGGGCCCGACTGGTTTATCAGATACTCTTGTCATTGTGGTCAAGCTGCTTTTGATTCAGAAAGCAGACTAATCCAATCTCATGGAAGATGTCCTAACATTATTTTATGAAAAAACAGCATTGCCTGTTGTATCATTAAGATTATGCAGTAACGCTTTACAATAAGGTTTCATTAGTTAACATTAACTAATAATGAACAATACTTCTATAGCACTTAATTTCAACATTTACAGATACTTTCTAAAAAATCTGTGAACTAATGTGAACAACAAAAAAAAGTATTAACTAACATTAAAAAAGAGTAATAGATGTTGTTAAAGATGATTGCTCACTGTGAGACCTTATTGTAAAGTGCTACAATGGCTTTCTTTAATATTTTAGATATTAAATTAGATTAATTTAAATTAAATCATGTTAATTTAGTACTGAAACTTCAACTGTTACGCATCTGTGTTTCACTTGTATATTCCAGAGACACATTAATATTCTATGGTTTCATGTTTTTATATCTATAATGTATTTTTTATCTATAATGTATGCGTTTTACTCCTCTATAGCTCTCTGAACAGTTCAGATAATTTAAAAAAAGTATTTTTTTGCCACATAATTCATGTAGTCATGTTGCAATCAGTCCAATCATATTTAAGCAGATAAATTCTATAGTGGGGTCTAAAAGTCTGAAAATGCTTCTAAATTCTTAAATTATTTCAACATTTGTCATTGCAAATGATACCAGCATATTAATTTTTAATGAAAAGTTGAAAACACTTGGGGGAAAAAAGGCTTCATTTTATGTCAGAACTGCTTTGTTTTAAAATGTTTAAAATTCTAAAACTGTATTTGTGTTTCTAACTTGTGCGTCTCACAGTATGTGTTTTCCTCCTCACGGATATCTTCCAGCACAGATCTCTGAAGCATGCATTCATGTTCTTAAATTATTTCAACATTTGTCATTGCAAATGATACCAGCATATTAATTTTTAATGAAAAGTTGAAAACACTTGGGGGGAAAAAAGGCTTAATTTTATGTCAGAACTGCTTTGTTTTAAAATGTTTAAAATTCTAAAACTGTATTTGTGTTTCTAACTTGTGCGTCTCACAGTATGTGTTTTCCTCCTCACGGATATCTTCCAGCACAGATCTCTGAAGCATGCATTCATACAGCAGGTTGTTTTTTAGTTTTGAGGTGAAGTGATGTGATTATCTCTGTGTCAGGCTCTGTGTCTTGTGATTGGGGGATCGCCGTCAGCACCGGTCTGAGCAAAGGGCAAAGTTTTTGGTCTCTCAGCCCCACAAAACGGCCCGTGATGCTCCTGTCAGTAAACGAACAGCGAGCCAAAACATGTTTTTATAGAGCGAGTCTGTGGGGGATTCATTTGTCTGTCAGCTTTTATTTTTATTTGGGTTTTATTCTTGCATTCCAGCGGCTTTCATATTAGTGGTCTGTAGATGAATGATGTAAATTAACTTTTCTTCAGTGTATACACCATCATGTCTCTTACTCTGCTGTGGCTTGCTAAAAAGAATAGGCAACTTTTAACTTCAGCTATGAGGAAAGAGAAAGGTTCATGTTTGCTTTTCTAAAAGCTGATAAGAGCTTACGTAATAAAACATGACCATTATTTACAGTTGGGTCTTATGTTCTTTTAAATACAGCTTTTGTTAGAGGAATAGATAACGAATTCTGGCATCATTTATTCACCTACATGTCATTCCAAACCCGTTTGCTGTTATTTTTTAAATTTAGGTTTTAGGTTTGTACATTTAGGTTTATGCTTTTGGCAGATAATTGCATCGCATTCCTTGGGAATGAAACCCATGACTTCGGCATTGCAAAAAAAAGAAATAATAATAATAATAATAAAAATAATAATAATAATAAAAACTTCAGGAATATATTCATTTTAATGCAAAAAGAGAAATCCTGCATTTTTATGCAATTATTTTGCATATAGTTCATATAGTCATATCTGTCAATCTCCAGAAAGCCATGAAGTACTGTAAAAACATTCATATGCCATAGTATGGATTAATGGTATGATTTAGTGTTCTTGTTATTATTGGAGCTACTAAATAGATTTTTTTAATCTTTGTATGGAAATAAGCTGCATGAATATCTACTTTGATCTT